TTTCCATCCATCTGACCCATGAAGACTCATTCTCATTTCATCAGACCAAAATCAGTCTTCAGATATTTCTTGGCCCAATCTTGTGTGTCTTCAAAGGTGGCCTTTTTTTGGCTTTCCTTACCTTGGCCAGGTCCCTGAGTATTGAGCACCTTGTGCTTTTCGGCACTCCAGACATGTTGCAGGTCTAAAATATGGCACAAGTGGTGGCTAATGGCTTCCTGGCAGCTTCATGCTTGATCCTTCTCAATTCATAGGGAGTTATTTTGCGTCTTCTTTTTTCACCACGCCTCTTGCGCCCCTGCTGGCTATTTGCCATGAACCGCTTGATTGTGATGTTGGACATGGTGAAGAACAGTGGCTATATTGGTCACCGATTTGTTTTTTGTTTGTTTTTGAATGTCGCAAATGTTTATTTCTGAATTTTGAGTTGTTATATTGGTTTACCTCGTGAAAATAAGTGAAGATGGGTATATATTTGTTTTTTTTTTATTGCGTTGCCTAATAATTCTGCACAGTAATATTTACCTGCGAACACAGACATCCTTATAAAATGGCAGAATCAAAAAACGAAACAAATCAACTACCAAAAATATGAAACTTTGATATTAAGAAGTCTTTTGGGTTGACTGAGAACACACATCAAAAATACAACTTGCCTAATAATTTTGCACACAGTGTCTATTCTCATGGCTTCAGATAATGGACGTGTATCTGTACTTGTCCTCATAGATCTCAGTGCTGCTCGATACAGATGATCATAATATTCTTTAAGAAAGACTAATATTTTGTTAAAACAGGGAACAGCACTAGGCTGGATTAAATCTTATCTGACAGATTTCAGTTTGTTCCCATTAATGATAAATCTTCCTCATGCTCCAGAGTTACCGGGGGAGTACCACAGGGATCAGTGCTAGGACCAATTCTCTTTAGTATATATATTTTTTCCAATCATTAGAATTATTAGACAGCATGGGATTAATTTCCACTGTTATGCTGATGATACCCAGCTATATCGGTCTATAAATCCAGATGAAGCTAACCCATTACATAGATTACAGGCTGTAAACTTTTAGCTTCTAAATGCATATAAAACAGAAGTTATTGTCTTTGGATCAGAGTCTTTGAAAAATAAGCTGATTAGCCAGTCACTTCATTTGGATGGGATTAAACTGATCTCAGATAATAAAGTAAAAAATCTTGGTGTTATTTTTGATCAGGACCTGTCATTTACATCCCATATCAGATGTTTCTAGAAGAGTTTCCTTCTCTCATCAGGG